GCCCCGCTGCCGCTCCCTCGCCGAAACACACACACACACAGTTTACCTTCACCGCAAACAACTCCGAAGCCCGCACCCCCGCAAGGAGGAGTTTACCCCCAATTGCTCCGCTGCCCCTGCAAAAAACAAAAAACCCCGCAGAATAAAGCGAGGCAGCCCCCTCCCGCACTCGCTCCTTCAGTCGGCAAAAGAGGAGGAGGGCGGCGCCAAAGTGCCCACAGTTCCGGGCTGCTCGCCCGGTGCGTGCTGCCCAAACAACGCACGGAGCAGGCGCGCACACGCCCAGGATGGCAACGCAGCAATAGACAGAAGCGTCAAACATCGTTTGCTCGGGGCCCTCAGAGTCGAATTCGGCTGCACCCACTGTGGCAGCACACCGGCCAGAACGACGCCATGCACACACAAAAAAAAACGAGGAAACATCACGCCAACGCAAGGAAAGAACAGCAGAAACTCGGTTTACTACACGATTTCTGGGCGGTGGTGGCGGAAAGGTAAGGTGGATGTCTAGACATGCATCTTGCCCCTTCATGGGCCGCTGCAATCCAATTTACACGGAGGCCGATACACACACACACACAAAGAGAGAAAAATAACTGAGTATTTTTTCAACTCCAGAGAATCACGCAATTGTCGCTTCATCGTCTTTCGATTCAGAACTCCTCGACGGCGCAAGCGCAAGAACCTGCACAACGCGACGTATGTCCCTCTCACTATCTCTATCTCTTCCTCTATCCAACTTTCCAATGCGTGCCACAGTGGTGCTCTCGTTATCGCAGGGGCGGGGGCCAGAGGCCAGTCCCTCGCATGCCGTGGAAAGCGGAGGCTTAACGCGTGCGCACGCGTTAGTTGCTGGTAAAGCACAAGTCCGATGGGAGGGACACCCGACTCAAGCTGTCCGGTAACTTCATCCTAAACGATAATAAGACTTGTCTACAGCATCCTATGAAATGGAATAGCGAAAAGATTAATCCAGAGGTATATACATAACACAATATTTTTTCACGCACTACTCGTCGTCGTTCCTTCCCCTCTCTCCTCCTCCCATTTTACAAAAAAAACAACGAAAAATAAAACGCAGGACGCAGAGGAACATGGGTGGTTCACCCCCTCCCTAATTATTTAGAGGGCGTCTCTCTCTCTCTCCCTCCACCCTTTTTGTGTGGGTGGGTGCCGTAAACGTTCTTTTCAATTTTTCTTCTACGTTCAGTGCCTACGTTAACTTTTTATTACCTAGAAACCGTTTCTTATGAGGATTCCGCGGCATTGTTCTCATTTCCTTCAGGTGTTTCCTGAGGATCACCCGACTGACAAGAAGGGGTATCCACATCCGCGGTGCCGTTACTCTTCTTTGCCCGCGGCGCGTGTCCTACACGGCATTGAGCTCCAAATTGGCAAGGGCGTTTGCTATCGTCTTCGTGGAGAAAGCGACAAGTGTCAGCAAACTTACAGTTCCCTTGCAAAAAAAAGCAACATAATGTTTGCCTTTCCCACTCACGTTGTGTTTCCAATGAACCACCAACAAACGGCTTTTTTTGGCGGGGACGAATCCCATACGCGCCTCTGCCGCGGTCAACTGCCATACCCATACTGTAGTCGCCACGTCCATACCCGCCAGCTCCACGTCCTCCTGTGTAAATAGGTCTTCCACGATTTACTTGGCCTGAAAAGTTCCCTTGAAACCCCTGGAAAAGTGTTGGATTGTACGTTCCTTGAGAATACTGAGGATAATAGCCACCACCTTGTGCCTGATACGGGGCAGGAGCAGGGAATTGCTGGGAAGGGTAGCCCGGATGGCTATATGCATTGTATCCGCCGTACCCACGATTCTGCATAATTTGCTGCTGACCAAATGGTTGCATGGCCTTATGTGCTGTGTTTGTGTGTGCGTATATATAATATGTAGATATATATATATATATATTTATATAAAAAGGTGGGAGGACCCTTGATCAACATACAAACAATGGAAACAAGCAAATTGTAGTCATGGATGAAAAGGGAAAATGCAACGAAGGCAGCGGTGACCACACATACACTTATATATAATAAGAGAAAAAAAACCTTTTAGTTGTCTGTTCCGCATTGCGCAACACCCTAAATACTTGAAGCACAGGTCACACTTGGGTGGGGCAAACCGCAAATACAACAGTCCTCCATCACCTGAATCCCCGTGCTACATTGTGAACAGAAAAAAACATCTGTGGGCAAATTCCGATGATGGCAATCGGCGCATACCCACGACAAGCACCGCGCTCTACCCTCGTACTTGCTTTGTGCACGCCCCTCGCCACAGAAACGGCAATGGCTCAACCAACTATAATTCCAATGGCCACAAAAATGGGCATTTCCTGACGCCGTCGGATCCAAGACCTCTCGGTTGCACTTCCACACATACGCATCATCGATGGGTGCGTCTGAACGTGGGGTCAAACAAGCGACGCAGTGAAATCCGGTTTGTAGGATATTGGATTTGCAAGGATGACACTTAAAGGGGATCAACTCATTGCAAGAAAGATTTGCATGACAAAAATTACAATGGTTACCCAAGAGCAAGTTTGCTCGAATGTAGCTTTTTCCGCACTGATGACATCGTCGTTGAAGGTACGGAGAGCAAAGGACATTGTGATCCCTTGGGTGAAGATGGCCACAATGTTGGCACGCAATCACTCGTATATTCTTGGATTCTAGCTCCAGATGGATAACTGAATGTTTACTAGAGAGTGTGTTGCAGAAATTGCAGGTATATGCATCGCAACTGTCACGCGAGCAAACTTCGCAGTTTGTGAGACAAGGGTGGTTGCGCCTACCACATCCACACACCCAAGGTTCTAGCGGTGCCACGACGCAACCAACTCTGCGCCGCCCGGGGCAGCGTTGGCACTGTGACCACGTCCAATGATTATACTCGCCACATACTCCACAACACCAAAGGAGTGGTTTCTTATCCTCGTTTGCCGCATAGCATAACGGACAACATACCGCCCGTTGACTGTATGTTTTTCCACAAAACGAGCATGCCCGTGTTGCAAGTTCCTCACGATAGGTATTCCCACATCGGACGCACCCACTCAGAGCGTCTAGCACACCTCCACAATTCAGGCACAACTCAAGACCCATCGCATCTGCCTTGAGTCTTCGAGGGTTTGCGGAACCGCAGATGCAACTCTGTTCCACATTTGTATCTTTATGCACCGCCCCACACGTGACACAAGTCCAAGCCGCGTTGCGTCGTCGCATGCACATTAAACACCTTTTTGCAGAAGCCGGAAGCTGCGCCCCACATCCGCATCGCCACCAAAACTCTGTCTTATTTACCACATGGAACTTTTCTAGCAAAGGACGAAGTTGCGGATTATCAATAAGCGACACCCCACTCAAGCGCATGGAGGGGAAGTAATCCTCTTGGAGGGCCTTGATGAAATCCTGCACAAGAGCCGACGCCCCATCTCCGTGAGACTCCCAAGTTTCACCCAGTAGGCTAATAAGACTATCCAAGATCCACAAAAAGTGGATACTTGGATGCTCTTTTAAAAAACGATAAAAATCTCGCATCGCGGCAGAAGTCTCCTCTAACGAAGAATGTGCGATAGAGCCAAGCAAAAAACGCACCACTTGAGAAAAGCCCGTCTTATCCAGTGTCATCGGAAGCCCTTGAGAAGCAGAAACATGATAGGCTTCAAGAACTCGTGCGTAATTCAAGGAATTGGGTTTTAACGTCACGGCGGCCTTAAAAAAGGGTTTCCATACAGCTTGAAGACCTTCCTTTGAGTTACCATGAAGACGAACCGCAAGCGATGCTATGTCAAGTATTGTGCACCACAAAACCCGAGTATCATCCTTCCCTGCAGACGCGTCAACAAGGCTACCTAAGGTTCGAACAATGTAGGTCAGCGGCATCTTTGTCTCCAATGCAGGTATCCTTTGGAGAAGCTTAAAATGCAGCGAGGCAAGAAGCTCTCCTTGGGATTGCCGCATATAAATGCGACTTAGTTTACTCAGTAGCGGTGTCCACTTAAGCGACAAAAAGTCAAAGGTTGGGCCAATGCTCTCTACAACGCTCACAAGAAGAAGATGCATTTCATGAAAGCACACAGATGAGAAAAACTGATCATTGGACAAGAGTCCATTTAGGCAGGCGGCAAAAAACTCGGGGCTGACACCGTTGCCAGAACATTTTCCAAGTTCCCCATTCAAGATGCAAGCAAGGATAGAGGGAGCTGCGGAAACTGACAGTATCAGCTGCAAGGTATAAACTGGAATGGGCCACCGAAGGTTTCTTACCTCGACCAAAAGGGACTCGTCCAACGTGCAAGGGGATGTCACAAGTGCGATCACCAAGCGCATGCATGCCAAGTCCCCCCGAGAAGAAGTTGCCAAGACTGTTTTAAGTCGGTCAAGCACAGTTCGAAGAGAGTAATACCCCACAACAGAGCTCCCACTAAAGAGATGCGCCTCTGACAAACTAAGCGAGGCGTCAGTAGTGCGCAATGTCAACACAAACAAAGCCCAAAGATACTCCACTGTGTCTGAGCAGTATTTACTTCCATGTAGCATGATAACGGTAAAGGGGCAGAAGCTGTGAGAGAGGTCTAAAAGCGATCCGCCCCCGCCGCTCACAAAGGAAGGATTCGAACCAGTAGATAGCTCGTGTCCAAGCAGAAGGCCTTCTCCAGACGCAAGAAGTGGTGACTTCGTTGAGAGACTGCCCAGCGTCGTTCGTCTCGGTAGTGATCTCTTGACGATGTTGTGCCATCGCCGCATTCAGACGCTAAAGAACACAAACTATCAATCAGGCCAGGAAAGCAAGAATAAGAACAAATACTCCACGTGCATGCCGAAAAAGCAAAGAACTAGTATGATTTTTTTTTTCCTTTGGCAAGCGTACAACCAGAAGACCAAGAACGAAAATAGCAACCGTGAAACTGAGCAACCCCCCCCCCCCACACACACACACACAACG